TGTTATTACTTTTATTATTATTACTGAATGAAGAATATGAAAAGTCAAACAAAACATCATGTGGTTCAGAGATAAGAATGGAAAACAACACTGAAAAAAAAGGAGAAGGTCATCACATCATTCAGAGTAAGACCTCTCCAAGGGCAATGATCACGCTATTTCAAACAGAGCTCATCAGAAGTAATCCCCCTCTCTCCTCTTCCCCTTTTCATTTTCACATGCATTTCTTTTGGAGGCTGGGGAAGGCAGGCTGTGCATTCTCGTCCTGTTTCTAGCAGGAGTTTTTGACCTTGAGAAAGTTCCTTCGTCTCTCCACGCAATTGTTCCTCCTCTAAGAAAACGGAGAGCATTTATTGCCCTTGAGTACAGTTGCAACTCAAGGTAGCAAAAAGATGTGTGAGACAAATCTTTCCATCTCCCTCTATTGATCAACCATCACTGCCACCCCTTCCCATGGTCTGGATGGCTTTACGAGCACCTCTCCAGCTGCCCCATCAGTTCTCAAGCATTGGGATGGAGACTACAGGTTCTCTATCTCTTGAGGTGCTGTCCAAGGGTAGGAACCTGTCTGGTGTCATCTCCTGGTCTCCTCAGAAGATAAATATTTGAGCAAAAGAAAAGATAGCAGGAAAGAAGGAATGAATCTTTAAAATGGATTGGAAAAAGCTCTAAATGCTGAGGCAAAGGTCATGCCAAGGAAGTAAGAGAAGCAAAAGGAAATACGTCCTTTCAGCTAAGGGAGGGAAAAGCTCCTCTACGTCCCCTTGGATCAGTTTGAGATAATAAGGCTGCTGCCTTCCTGATTAGTGCTCTGTAGCCCCAGCCCAGACAGGGAAAATCTGCATTTCAAATGGCATATTTTAAAGTACACAATACCCAGGGGCCCTGCTGCTATTGATTTGCCTCTGGTGGGGTCACTGCCTCACTTTCTACAGTCTTATTAACTGGGACCATACACTGGGTCTCTTTCAAAGTGAAAAGAGAGTGGATGGGACATTTGTCTTCCGGGGGAGCTGGGGAAGGAGTAGGGTGACTTTCACTGGGAATGCCCTGGAGGTTTTATAAGGAAGACTGGTGACCCTTACAGGACTTGCTCTCCTCTTGTAAATTTCCCTGGAGCCATTCTGGGAGGGGAGGAGGTAGATCTTATGCTGTCAACTTCTTCCAAGGTGACTGAGTTCCTGTCCTCCCACCTGCATCATGCCACTGTACTCAGTCAGGCTTTGACCATCAGCCACTGGGCTGGGTGGGAGCTCCCTCTTCTTTCCCCTTAACCTTTACCCCTGAGCACACCCAACAAGATCAGGACGGGTATGAATGAGATCTGTGACCTTAGAAGGGAGACAGAAGGGTTGGCAAGAGTTGAAATGTCCAGATGTGTTTTGGACATGGCTGCAAACTGGGGTACACATCTGTGTTCAGATGTGCAACGCTCTACTCCTTCCAGCTCCAGGTAACCCCAGGTTACCCCAGAGACTGTGGTGAGGTCTGTGCCCTTTGGGTCATGGTATGAAGGGCTCCAGCCTTTTTCAGCATGCCAGGTCTCTAGGACATCTTGGAGAGGACATCCACGGAGCACTGAGCATAACAGAAACTGAGTGACTGCTCTCTGCAGGATGTCTGTTGCAGCAGAAGCACCTGATCTAGTTTCCCAAATCACAGCTTAAGACCTTATTTTTACTGCATTTGCTTTTTAACCCTAAGCTAAATTTAACCTCTTTGCTCCTCACAGTTGTCATTCAGTCTCTGTGGGAGTATGGCCAGTTTTAAGTGACCATTTCACTGAAATCCATCAGGCTTTAGGCTGCAAACCCTGTACCTTCAGCACAGATCAGTAGATTAGGAACATTTAGTTCTTCTCACAAGGAGGGAGAAAATACCTTCTTCTCTCCAAAGGTCTGTGACAGAAGGGCATGAATGACATTACACGCAAAAATGAACATGCGTGTAGCCAAGGCATACTCTGCAAACATGCACCTTCCAGTGCAAATTTATAATCCCTCCAAAAGCACAAGAAGTGACACACTGAGGTTACCTGATTTGCAAACAGGAGGAGCACCTGCCATTGTTAACTCTGAACAGCTTAGAGACATCCATAAGCAGGAAAAAAAGTTGCATAAGCCATAATTAATGTCACAAGTGACTGCCTAGCTCTGCTGAGTGCAAAATGGAGATTTTCTTTGGAGCCGTAGAATCATTTGTACTACTATTGCCAATGCAGCAACTTTTTAGATAGAGCCCTGTTTCTCAGCAGCATAGGTGAAACACAAAAATAGGATTAATATCGTTCTTTTAAATGGATGTGAACCAAGTTCCAAAAATATCTGCTGAGGGCCAGGTAAGGGGTGGAAATGATTTCATCTGACTGTGTTGGTAGGTGCAGCTGAACCAATCAACTGAGGTTTCACATCCAGTCAACAGGGAGAATTAAAGCTGCAATCCACCTGCCCAGAGGCATTTGGGTGCAGAAGAGAGAGATGAATCTTGGCCTAGATTCCTCTGCCTGTTATCACATCAACTATGATGGGTGACCAGCTTACAGGAAACCCCATCTGTATTTAGTTTACTGAACCTGACAGTGGGAAATGCCAAAAGCATAGTCTTCTGCCTGCTCTAGAAGGTCTCTGGTTAAAACACCAGGCTGATATATGCCAGCAAGACTAACTATGGAACACACGCAATCAGCCATACATCACTCTCTGTTTTGAGGTGGGTTTGTTCATGCAGCTCTGGTCACCTGTGGAGAAGAGCAGAGAAAACTCATCAAGGGCCAGACTGGGAATGTCCCCAGCCCTTGCAACTGCATCCATCTCAGAGAGATGTTACTTGGATCTGCAGAGCTACAGAGATCCTATAGGCACAGATCTTGGCCATCATTTCTGTAACCAGCCAGTTATATCCTCCTCTGTCCTGGGTAAAAAAACGCAGCACAGCAAATGAGATATGAGTCAGCACACCTAGTGCTGGAGTCAATCCAGTGTTAAAGATGGATGGATTCCCCCTTCCTCATTCACTTCATTGGCATACTTTCTAAAATCATCTGCTCAGTACCTTCTCTGCAGAATAAACCCAAATAATGTCTAGAAACAAATATATTCCTTAAAGGAGAATCAGCATTGTGCTATAATAGAAAAGATTGTCTAATCACTCCATCAGTAATTACAAAGAACAGGATATCACTAATTAAAATGTGAAAGTGTCTTAAAAAAGGGTAATTAACAATCAAAGGGAAAGCCACCACTTTGCCTCCAATCTGCATTAGGCTTCAAAAAATAATAATACTCAACTCCAGTACAACACTTTTCATCTGTAGATCTGAAGGCACTCCTACATGGTAGGGCAGGTATCCTGTGTTGCCTGTTGCTGGAGAAACGAAAGCAAGTTTACACAGCATGTGCATGGTTATTCAGCAGGCCAGTAACAGAGCACCCTTTACTGATGGTGACAAGTTTCAGTATTTGAATGAGTGCAGTTCATTTTCAGGGGTTCATTCAAGGCATTCATTGAATTTAGTGCGTATTTTAGCACATATGTGTATGAATAGCTAATTTAGCTGCTATTTCAGTTAGCGAACAGTAGGGAAATTTTAGCTGTAAGTGTGTTTCTTGCCATGACTTTTGAGATCTGTTTAATACTGAGAAGCATGTCCCATGTGCTTAAAGAACAGCATCAGAAGGTGATTTCTTGATGGGAGAGAGAGTGAAATGGCAGAGAGCAGCAAAACAGAGTTGTTCCAATTCTGGAGACAGCACAGACATGAGTCACTTCTAAAATGACTACAGAAAAACATTTTTCTTCTCCACTATTATCATCAACGCACAAATTACCAGAGGCTGGGCAAGGTGTAGAGTGAGGTTTTACTCTCTGTGCGTCTTCTTTCCCCCACACCCTCTCTAAGCATCCACCACTGGTCACTGCTGGGGATTGGATACTCAGACGTACCCTGTCTGGCTCCTTGTACAGCTCCAGGGAAGGAGACAAGAGGCAGCTTCAACCAGGCTGTCTTATCCTTCGCTTTATAAGCCCACTGCAGCCATAATGTACACATGAACTGCACCAGCTGTGTTCCAGGTTTGGAGTGTAACATCATGATAACAAAGTCTGGTTTTAATGAAAGAAGCATTTCCAGCATGTACAACCATTCACCAGCCTTCTGCTCTAAAATTTTTACCCCCAGAATGCCTGAAAGTATAGCCTGGGTTCCTTATTTCTGCTTTTGTTAGGCGCCCTGAAACAAGCAATATTTTGAACACTTTCTGAAAAAAAATTAATGGAGAAAGTCAGCCCAGACCAAAACCATGGGAAAGGGGTTTTCCTGTTAAGCAATACTAATTTTGTTAAAGTAGGGGAGCTTCCTCCTCTTGTACAGCTCTTCTGTCTCTGCTTGGTTGTTTTGGAAAGAGGTGCTATAATCTGGTCAAAAGGTTTGGTCATGGTTTTGCTCTGTACCCGCCAGAGGCTTCCTAGCAGCATCAGCAAAAGTGATTTTTGTCCCTGACAGATGAAAACAAATCAGGTTATCCCTAGAGAACTAGCCAGGCTTGCTGCTTTGGAGAAGGAATCCCCTTTCCCTACATACACCAGTCTCCCATCACTAACCACCAGGGCTTTCCCAGAACTTTAGGCAATGTAAGCCATGAAACCTCTTTCCTCAGGTAGATAGTCTTTTCTGGGTATAAAGTCTTCTCTCTGCCCTTCTTATCAGAGAAGTAGCAGGGAGTCAGAGGGTTGTGTCCAGCTCACGGGAGACCTCCACGCTGGAGGAACTCATGGTGGGGGTGGGGACCACAGAGACCCCAAGCTGCAAAGACAACATTTGCCTCCAGCTCCTGTGGTGAGGAGGAAGGCCAGGCCTGGGGAGGTTCCACAGGCATGGTGTGCTGACACCTTAAAACAGAAGGGCGCGTCACACCTTCACCGGGCCCACACCCTGGGGCCGGTGGAACAGGCTGCCCTGCCAGTGACCGCGTGATATTTTTTCCCTGCTCTCTTTGTTCCAGCTGATGCAGCAGCAGGCCGCGATCATGGCCTCGGTGGCGCAGGGCGGATACCTGAACCCCATGGCAGCCTTTGCCGCGGCCCAGATGCAGCAGATGGCGGCTCTGAACATGAACGGCCTGGCAGCCGCCCCCATGACACCAACCTCAGGTAAGGGGATAGAGGGGCGGAGAGGGAAAAGGGCGGGCAGGCCTGGACACATCCCAGAGGAGACCTGTCAGGATGTGTTAGCTCTCTGTTATAGCCACCTACAGCCAGGTGAGGATCGGTCTCTCCTCCCAGGTTGCAAGTGACAGGACCAGAGTAAAGGGCCTCAAGTTGTACCATGGGAGGCTTTGACTAGGTATTGGAAAAGGTTTCTCTTTCACAGGCTGCCCTTGGTAGTGGTTGGGTGTCCACCCCTGGAGGTGTTTAAAAGACCTGTAGATGTAGCAGTTAGGGACATAATTTAGTGGTGGGCTTGGCAGTGCTGGTTCACTCAATGATCCTAGGGGTCTTTTCCAACCTTAACCATTCTATGATTCTGTGGCACTTCCTCATCAGTGTTACCTCGTACACAACTTCTCTTTATCTCCGAGCACCCTCCAAATGCCACAAACATCCTGCAGTGCCCTGCAACTGGTTTATTGGTGCATATATGTGTCCAGCTGGTCAGTGCTGGTGCTGCCACAGCCAGGCTGGTCCAAAGACAAACAAAATAGGGTTGGTGGTGAGATGCATTATCATAAACAAGATGAGGTTTAGCCTTTGGAACGCATAAGCCTTTCCCCTATTATGAGATAGGACAGTAGGTATTTAGGGAAGATATCTGGTGCTATCTCAAATGAAGGCCTTTGGTGACAGGGTTTCTGGCTGCTGGAGCAGAGACAGGTAGTCAGTGAAGGGCTGCCAGGATCCCTTTTGTAAAGCCTATTGTAGGAGTTGCAATATATAGTTCTGTGGGCTGAGAAATAAGCTGAGAAGATGGAAATGGGTCTGTCTTTCCTGGGCCTTGAAGCGCAGAGATATCATTTGGGAAGGAATAGGTCAAGGAATCATCAGGGCTGGTAGTCATGGAGTGGTATGTGGCCTAATAGCAGTAAAGTAGGGAAGCAGCAAAGTGGTTTGGCCCCAAAGAGGTCAGAATCTGGAAAGCCTTGCAATATACCAGAGTCTGATAGGGGAGCAGAGGTCTCAAAGGTTCGTCTTCAGAGGACCACTTCTAAGAGACAGGCTGAGATAAAAGGGTACTTGGGGTGACATATCTTGTTTCTGTGAGAGGTACAGGGAAGGGGACTGTACTCAGAGAGATATGGCATACCAGTGCCCTTGTGTGAACCTAGAAGCATTCAGCTGGCCTGGAGAGGACCAGCTTTACAAAGATTTGGGACAAGACATGCAAGGAGTGAGATGTGTCTGAGCCTGCTATAGTGCAGGCAGTGCTGGGCAGAGCAGAGCAGTAAGAGAGGAAAGAGGCAGCTTCACTGCTGAATATAAAGAGATTTGCACCAGCCCCAGAGTTGGAAAGTGCCGTCTTGCAAAGTAGTCAGGAAAGATGCTTGGTGGTTGAGAAACACTGGATGGCAGGGAATTAAGGCACCAAAGCAATGCAGGTTTGGGGGCCATTCCTAATGAACTGAGCTGTGCTACCCTATCTGCCAAAGGAAATCTCCTTGACTGCACGCACAATCTCTCTGCAATCTGTAGCTAGGAAGAGCATCAGCGGCTACTGGATCATATACTTATCTTTTCCTTTGCTTGTATTAGAATACAAGTGAGTGAGGGGGAGAGGGAGAGAAAGAAAGACAGATCTCATTCTATACGAACTTATGGAGACCCAAGGAAAAGCACTTGACTCAAAAGTCTTATACCACACATCTCAAAATATATGTTTACACAATGATAAAAGTATGAACAAGGAGTCGATGGAGCTCCTGCAAAACCAAATAGAAAAGTGGCTTAATTATATGTGCACCCTTTAAACCACTGCTGGAAAGATTATCATATTTGCATTAGCTAGATTTGTTTTGTGTTGGTGGGAGCAGAGAGAACATCAAACAAAGACTGCCTGGAATTCAAATGTTGTCAGGGCCTGGAAAGCTGAATCTAGGCAGTAGTTTGTGATGGACCCACCACAAAAGAGAATAAGCTCTTTTGAATACGTATAAGTCTTGAAAATGAGTGAGTTCTGTGACATAGATGTGAAAACACCTGTAAAACAGCCAAATTATGTGCCTACCATGATATCCAGCACACAAAAAGCATCCTAGCTCTTTTTAGGTATAAACTCCTGCTCTTCTTCTGCTGTGACCAGTGTCTTTCAGAGCCACAGAATCTTAGATCACTTAGGTTGTAAAAGACCTTTAGGATCATCAAGTCCAACCATTAACCCAGCACTGCCATGTTCACCACTAAATCGTGTCCCTGAACACCATGTCTGCACATCTTTTAAATACCTACAGGGATAGTGACTCCATCACTTCCCCAGGCAGCGCCAGTTCCAGTGTTTGACAGGATGAGGGGACTATTAAACCCTGACTGTCAGAATACAGGAGAGGAAACTCGTGTTTTTTACATGCTTTCTGGATCACCCATGACTGGTCATTACTGAAAATAAGATGCTGGTTTAGACGATCCCTTGATGTCTTTCTTGGTGGCCAATTTTGCACTCTCCTAATGACATATTTTCAATCACAGAGCCTATTCACTTTGGTATTATTGCAGATTTACCTTGAATGAGTAACTTCCTTCATGAAAAACCTCTGTGGTGGGTTGTGGAAACATCCATTGACAATTATTCCTTAGGAGAAATGTTTAGACTTTGAAATTACTCCTTGTATTACTACAACACTCACAAAGCATGTTATAAGATGCATAGAAAACGTTTCACATAATTTCTGAGCAAGCAAGCCTGCTACACTAGCAGCAATTTCTGAGTGGCCAGGAGATATCTGAAGCCTAACATGAATTCTCCTGCTGGCTTTTGTTAGCATTCAGAAAGCCAAATGGAAAATGATCATTCTGCTTCATAGCAGGATTTCTAGTCATTGAAGTATATCTTTGTTCTGCCTTGGAATGAAAATGAAATATTTCAAAGTTCTCTGGAAAAAAAAAAAAAAAAACAGGCATCAGAAAAAGTGTTTGGAACATTGAAAAAGTAAAAAGAAAGTGTTTTGATCTTTCCTAAGCAAAAGAAAAATTGTGCTAGAAAAAAAGAATCTGGTAACCCAGGAGTCCTAGAGGCGTTGGAATTATTGGCTCAGCCTCTATGCTGATATCTTTGGGCCTCCTAATCCAGCTGGTCTCCTGTGTGTCCCACCTCTAGGAGAGAGGGTTCCTTGGGATATGGCCATGAGTTCATTCAGGGTCATGGGACCTACAAACTCAGAGAGTTTTGGATCCAGCCATACCTAACAGATGAGAGACAGTGTCCATCTCACCTGGCTGTGGCCACGCAGAAGTTAGATTATTTAATCTAGTCACCTGCTGGCCTGCAGTCAGTGTGGATGATGATAGGCAGTCCCGGTGGGTAATTCAGACCATAAAAAATTTAATGCTGTTTGCTGTCATTTTAACAGATCTCCATCAAGGCTCAGGTTTATCTCACACACAGTCTGTAATTGTCAGGCAATTAATTTAACATCTCTGGAAGTTTGGTTCAGGTGTTACATTTCTCCCATCTCTGCTACAATCTGGGTGAAAAGTGGGTCTGGCAGTGAATCTGCTACCCTGTTAACTGCAAAGAGGGGCTAGAAATTAAATTTCATTTAGGCTTCCTTCCTTCTCTTCTCCCTCCCTCCCTCCCTCTGTGTTGTAAATCTGCACCTGGTGTAGCTGCAGCAAGAGATCTCAAACGAGGGATGAAATCCACAACTGGCATCCACCACCACCATTTGTTCTCTGCAGTGGCATTATGCCAGTTTTACTCCAGCTACAGATCTGACCTCTCCAGGGGGGTTCTTTATAAGAAGAAAATTAAAAAATTCCAATGAATATGCCTAAACTTCCTTAGACATGCACAAAATAGCAAGCACAAATCCCTTGTTGCAATTTTAGAAAAAAAATTACTTACATTTTCTATGCAAATAAAGGAGAGATCCAGAAAAGCAACTGAAATTTTAAGTAGCCTTTGTGATTTGCAAGCTGATGGCATATGCTAAGAGCATTGCCTTTGGACTTCAGTTGCCACTGCTGGCTCCCTGTACCTCCACAGAGGGCATTTTTAAAGGCCAACACCATTTAAATAAGCAAAGGGGAAGCAGCAGCTTGTCTGCTCAGGGTATAAGAAATGAGCTGAAATACTGCCTGGTTTTTGGGCTACTCAAATCTGAACATATTAAAACACCTCATGCATCTGCATTGGCTTTCTTAAAGCACCAACACAGATTTAAGCAGTCATTAAATTGTGTTACTGGACTTACCCATCATGGAATGCTGTTGTGGTGAAGAAAATATCTGCAATTGGTTTAAGAAAGAGGTTACTGCAAAAATCGTGTTTTCTACCAGTAGTATACCCTGACACAGAAAGATATTGCTGAGGATAAGATAGTTAAACATCCCACACACAGCCAGCAAGAAAAAAATACTATTTCAGCATCCCTAAAACCATCCTGAATATGTCACAAGAAGAACAGACTGTCCAGTTATTTTAAACATAGATATAGGAGCAGACAATGAGATAGCAGAGGGATATGATTCTACCTCCAGAAATTTGAGAATTCTCTATCAGTGTGTGACAAGATCCCACCCAAACCACAAAGACTAATTTTTTCTTCTGAAATCACAGCATTGGAGTCCCAGGATGCATCAAGAAAGAAAGAAAGGAGTATGATTCCATGATAGGAACAAAGCTAGCCCAAAATTTGACCCTGTTCATTGGGAGAAATCTGTTAAAACTCTATAAAGTCAAGTTTGAGCCAAAGAGTGACATTAAAAAAAAGTATCACTGGCTACATTTAGGCTGCAAATCAACTTGCCAAGCCTTTTAAGGATCCCTAGTGTTGAGAAGGTTCAGAATGAGTTTGCGTGAGAGGTATATCCTGAGAGACTGCAGACAGAGTAGTCCTGGAAGTCGGTACATGCACAGAGCTCCAAAGGGAAATTGAGAAGAATTGCTGTAGAAAGGTAGGGCTGGGAATTATTTAAAGATTTGCAAGCCTTTCTTAAATGATTTCTGAACAGAAGAGCAATGGCAAGCAGTCCATTTGCTCAACAGCTTGGGAGATTTTTCATTTCTTGGATTATCAGGAGGTTTCTGTCTGGTGGTCACAGCTGTTGTGTCAGCAGTTTTCCCCGGGTAGCTGTTGTTGTTTCCAGTACTCCCCAGCTCTGACTTTGTGTCCTCCCTGTTTGCAGGTGGAAGCACGCCTCCTGGCATAACTGCACCAGCTGTGCCTAGCATCCCATCTCCAATTGGGGTGAATGGTTTCACCGGCCTCCCGCCGCAGGCTAATGGGCAGCCAGCTGCAGAAGCCGTGTTTGCTAATGGCATTCACCCTTATCCAGGTAAGCCAGACCAACGCTGTGCCCACAACCTGCTCCCTCAGTGTTAGGGAAGGCTGTCCACATCCATAGGCTTTGTCCAACAAGAGACACCTCAGAGGGATTATGCCTCACACCATCAGGACTCACTCCAGCATTGCTGTTTTAGGTCTTAAGCAACTACAGCAGTTAAACAGCTCAATCTGGATGATAAACATCAAGGGCATGTTGGAGGTGAAAAAATTTGGTACTGAATATCTGAGTGCTCTGTTGCTGGATAGTGTGTCTGGTGAATATAGTCGGGACAACCAGCACGTTTTGCTTCAGCTAAAAATTCAGCTGAGTCCTGACAAGTTCATGCTGGTAGATCTCTCCTAGCTTTACACCCAAGGGTCTTGCTCCTGGTTGGCCTTGAAGGAGGTGTGCTAAGCCTGTTTGCACCTGCTAGCACCCACCATTGGTAACTCCTGCTGGAATTCCCCTGCAGCCAGATGTCTCTAGAGGACGAGTCCAAAGGGTCCACATGTCTGCTGACCAAAACTGCTTCATGTGTGCAGAGAGCAGGTATTGGTCTCTGAATTGCTTACTGCATCCCAATCCTATTACCTTACCAGGCCTGGAGACTAAACTCCATTAAATATAGCCACTGAATGGGCTCAGGTTCACCTTTCTGTGTCTCGCTGCCAGAGAACTGCTGCTAGAATTCAGACTGTGCGTTAGCTCAAAGATGCCAGCACTGAAGGAGTGATTTTGCAAGCACTGGCAGTCATGGATGAAGGAGGGAGGTTAAAGGATACATATCTGCCTCTGTTTACAAAGATATGGACAGTCTTAGGCTGTAATCACCAAGAACTCAGGAGTTTGCCATCCCTTCATGTGCATCTACATTTTTTCAGTATTCTGAAGATTTGAGATAGCCCTCTCCTTCTTCTGCTAGGAGGGTATTTTTTACCATTGCTGTACACATACTAATAGTAACAATCATAGCAATAAAAATTTAAGTAAATGTTACTAATTGATCCTAATCACCAGCTGGCAAAGAAATATTTTACCCTGGGGCGCTCACAGATTGATCTAGACTGTTAGGAAATCAAATACTGAGTCAGATACTCCAGCCAAAAAGCCCACAAAACCTCAGAGAAAAAAAGTAATTCTTTCGATCTCAGCCAGTCCTAAAAACTCAGAAGAGTCATCATCACAGGGGACTCTGTGAGCCACAAGGAAAAATACCACATAACAGAGAAATATAAGAGCCTTACCTAAGTATTGACAAATAATTATCCTCCTCCTAACAAACACTTTGCAAATATATAGCTGTGAGTTCAACTCTAAGAAGAATTGAAATCAAGGGACTTACTCCACTAAAAGTTATAGCCATGTATATATGTTTTTGTAGCAGCTTAAGGGCAGGAGAGATTTTGGAGTCTTGTGAAGGCACCAGAAGATTGCAAGGAGCCTTTAGTATGCTCGGTGAGCTCAACCACAGCACCGAGAAAGCACGCTGTCTTTAAGGTTGCATAAACATAGCCATCTGTTCTACTGTCCATTTATTTCAGTATCTACCTGTTTGCCAGTCTATCATCTCTCTGTTTATTCATCCATTTATGTGTCTATCTTTTTTCCTGGTTTATCTAGCTCCTTTTAGCTAATCTTGCACGATCCATTACTGTGGAAATCAGAGAAAAGATGTTCCTTCTAGATGAATCTTAATGACTTGAGCTTTTGTTACTATCCCCAACTATCCCCATAATTAAAGAAGCCTTTCACTTAGGTATTTCATCCATGATTATATAAAAGTCAACGGCCTTAATATGATTCTCTCTGAGTTTCGGAGAGACTTGTTCAGCCAGCAATTCACAGTAAGTCCCTGCACAAACACCAACAGCCCAACACACTAAAAGGTAAAACCCATCCTTGCTCCTCTTCACTGCATGCAGAGAGACTCCATCCTGCCAGTAAAGCTGACATCTAAATAGTCTGCTCTGTGTAAAGTTTGAATTTATCTCAGCGTGTCTTCAGCAATATATTTGTCTTTCTCAGTGCTCAGCTTCCCCATAACTTAGTGACATCTTAAGTTATAGCAGGGGTGTAAAGGGAACAGTGGCAGGTCAAACACTCACCTCTCATTTTACTTTTGTCTGTCCCTGAAACACTGAAAGCAAGCCCATGTAGCTTACATCATGTGTTTGCTCCGTCTAATTCTCTCCCTTCTCATGAGCATTTATGCACTCTCCAAAACTCCACTCCTTGCCACAGGCTTTATTGAGTTCTGGAGCTTAGCAGCATAAAAAATAAAAGGATTAGTCATTTATATGGGTAATGAGAACATCCACAGCCATATTAGACTGGATAAAATGTAGATAGGACACAAAACTTCATGCTTTATGATATAAGCCAGCCACTAATTGCTTGGGGTTAGAAAGAAATTTTCGTCACTGGGCAGCTTATTCCATCATTGTTCATTATGGGATTTTTCTCACTTTCCTCTGTTGCATCTGTTACTGGCACTGCCCTGTGGTTTTGCATGTCTCTGTTTCTAAATGCAAGGGTAAAAATGAAATATTACAACTGAGCATGCAATTGCATTAACAGTATAGAGAAAAAAAGAACATGACAGTCCCCATCCAAAGTCAGCATCTTCCAAACAACTTTCCTTTATGGTATGTCTCTCATTCTGAAAGTGGCTAAGACTGCTGCAGTGTTATGTACATAATCATAGTCTTGCTATGATTATGACTTGCCGTGTATTGTTTAAAGCCTGAATGTTGCTCTCAGATACTCTTTCATGCTCCACAAAAAAATCCTCAAATGTGGGTTCACACCATTATATCCTCCAGCAGAGTGTTCTTTGTTGTCTGAAAATAGCAAAACAGGACAATGAACATCTATAGAGGCATGACATCCATACCATTCTGACCCAAATAAATTCAATTAAATGTGCACTTTATCTACACGTTCACCTTTGCGGCTATCCATAATATTTTTGATGCTACCTCTAAAGGACTCCAGAATTCCACAATCTTTATAAAAACATCTCCTTATTATGTAATTGTATTTACTCTTTAATTTCAATCTTTTTTTTTTTTTTTCTTCTGTCTTCACCCATGTTCTTTTTTTAAGATTCCCTTTGACTGGAGAAGGGACACACACAGTATCATTTGAGTTAGACTATCAAACCATCCATGGCTTTGTGGTAAAAGCCAAAGTAGATCGAACATCCCTACTCATCAGGCTTTTCATCACAGCCCCTGCCCTTGCAGGAATTAGCTTTTTCTGTGAATCTGTTCAGTCTATGAATCCATGCAGTAGCACTAGACAACCATTCCTTACAGGAACGTTCTTTGCAAGCCAAAGTCTCACCTTCTCCAAGATCAGCCAGTACATAATGCCTCAGTGCACTTTTTGCCATGGAGTGAATAAGAAGCCAGCAAGTATTTCCCCTTTCACCAGTCTGAGCCCGTTTGGAGATTCGACCTATTTGTATATTAATTCCTGCCCTTTAATCTTTCACTTTGCAGAGCTATTGAACGTGGCAATGTGTCACAATATATAGTGGGGACAAAGAGCGTAATCTGTTGTGCCGTGATACTGTGAGTCACTTTGCAGCAGCACAAGAGCGTTTGCCATTTCCACATTAGTCATAGGAGCAGGGATTGTGCTCTTCTGCCAAAGCTTCTTAGCCACCCAGAGCCCAGAGCCTCTCTTGTAACCATGTGTAATGTACAGTAACAGTAGAGACCATCTGCACTGGTTTCTGCTGTGCCTCACCTCATCAGAATTCTGCTTTCTGGTAACAGGTCCTGCCTTACTGAATTGCATTGTGAGAGAATGTTCAAAATGTTCATTCAAAGATAAAGCCTCTTTGGAAAGAGGAAGGGAGGTAGAGATGAGAAAATCATGAGACCAAAGGGTAGCAAACGAGAGAGAAGGGATTGGCTGTTAAAAAACTGGTGAAATGAGAAAGCTGGAAGAGGGAACAGAGCAGAGCTCCCAGAAAAATTTGACCCATCTGTAACAATCTGCCATGCTCCGTGATCTTCCAGTGATGTGCCCAGAAAGAAGTGGAAATACACCACATAACATCCTACATCCTTATTCCTTCTGTGCTGAGAGATCTACAGCTTAATCAGAGCCTGGGATGGATCGGTGGTGTATGAGCTTTGTGGAGCCTTAGATGGGAAATGCTTTCACAGATGCTGAGTTCATCTTCCCTGTGAGGGGATGCAGAGAGCCAGGCACTGATCTCTTCTCTCTGGTCATCAGTGGCAGGACCCAAGGGAACAGCATGAAGCTCTGCCAGGGGAGGTTTAAGTTGGATATCACAAAAAAGTTCTTCACCCAGAAGGTGGCTGAGCACTGCAACAGGCTTTCCAGGGAAGTGGTCACAGCACCAAGCCTGACATACATCAAGAAGCATTTGGACAATGCTCTAAGGCCCCTAGTGTGATTCTTGGGGTTCTCCTGTGCAGGGCCAGAAGTTGGATTTTGATGATCCTTATGGATCCCTTTCAACTCAGGATATTCTATGATTCTGATTCAGTGCATTTGTTCTTGGTTTAGGTTGCTTAGGAAAACAAAAGTTAAGTTCCCTCAGTTCCTCCTAATACATTAAAAACATTTCATCTCATTTACTCTTTTCAGGCACCCTTTGGTTCTGTTTCTGACTGCCCACCACTGACAGGACTAGCTCTGCGTGTCCTCTCTGTAGACATAGAAATTTCTCCACCAACCCCCTCCTTTGGCTGCACAGTGGGCTGTGCACATCTGGGCTAGCAAGACAGCAGTCTCCACTTCATACCTTCTTTGGGGTCCAGCCCTCTCTTGTGAGCCCTAGCTCTCAGTACAGGGCAAGCCTTTATGCCCACATGTTTCCAAGCCACTGCTGAGACTGGCAGTAAGGGTGTGCCCCACAGAGTTCTGCAGGAACTCATGTCTTAGTAGCTGAACCAAGACCACCGATTCATTTTCCTTGGCTCAGTGAAGAGATATCAGGCAGTCACTTACTTCACCCATTGCCAGCAGAG